TCGGGGGGTAGGTCATTCCAGAGGGCAGGAGCTGCCACAGAGAAGGCTCTCCCCCTGGGGGTCGCCAGCCGGCATTGTCTGGCCGACGGCACTCTAAGGAGGCCCTCTCTGTGGGAGCGGACTGGTCGAAGGGAGGTGTTTGGTAGGAGGCGGTCTTGCAAATACCTAGGTCCATTGCCATGGAGCGCTTTAAAAGTTACTAACAACTTTTAAATAAAATTAATTTAATTTTATTCATAATTTTATTCATCACTCGTGCTATGTGTTTTTAAAATGCTCTGATGTTTTATATTTTAATACACATTTTATATGCTGTTTTTGTAAATTTTTATGCATTAATGCTATATTCTGAAATAAAATAAATAAAATTCTATAGTTAAATGTAAGCCACAATGAAACTGTTTGATTTTGGAGAAACACAAATTGAAACCAAAAATAAAAATAAAAGGTGTGTGTGTGTGTGTGTGTGTACACACACACACATCTATATAAATAAAAATGTAAATGTTCGTTTGTTCAAAATCTTAAATCTCTGAAAGTTCTTCACCGATTGCTTTGAAATTTTGACAAAACATTACATTCGAATACGCGCGTGTATTTATATACCTACTATTATATAGATGTATAGATGTCACACCTGTGACAGGTAAAAACATGCTTTTTTTGAAAAACAGCGCCATCTGTTGGACGTAAACGCAACACACGCTAGCATTGTGAAATTAAACATATTACAAACGTGCGCTTTCTCTTTTCTTTCTTTTCCATTTAACCAGACTGAGCCACAGCAACGCGTGGCCGGGTACAGCTAGTATTAAATATATGTATTTAAAAATACATACATACATATATTGGCTATTTGATCATGATTGCATGGAAGGAACCAACTATCTTCCATTTTGCACAAACCTTGTATTCAATGAAATTGTGCATATTCATCACTGGTGAAAGTAACACTTTCCAAATAAGAATTATGGAGAGTAAATAGATATATTGGACCTGCATACTATTAACTAGTAGGCACAACAAAGCTAAAGAACAATGGAATCAAATGAATTTGCTTTCACAATCCAAATACAAAATATAATTATGTATTTAATTCATATTAAATATTATTTTATTTATAGTTATGAAATCAGAATTTTACCAGATTTGCCATGGCTTGTCTTTGATGTTCTCTAATGTCAGTAAATGAGAGACTTTAACAGAGGAAACAGCATCTCTAAGATCCATCTTATTTGCAAAGAAGAGAACTGGTATTCGGCGGTGTTTAAGATCTAGAACATAATAATTTGTTAAATTGTCACCGTATATATGAAAACTATTTTAAATAGAAACATACGTTGTTCACTGGTCAGTATCTTCTTTGAAATCTACAACTCTCAAGATGAAAGACTAGGACAGTGATGGCGAACCTTTTAGAGACCGAGTGCCCAAACTGCAACCCAAAACCCATTTATGCATCTTTGGGTGCCGGGTGAGCATGGCCCATTGGCTGGGTGTGGCCAATTGGGGGGTGTGGCCCATTGGCTGGGCGTGGCTGCGGTGGTAACAGCAGACTGGGTGGGACTAAAAAGTTCAATCAATCAATTCCAACTTTGCAAGATCTTTTTTTTTCCCGCAAGAAGTTGAAATTGACTGATTGATTGAACCTTTTTTTTTTTTTGCACACGGCAGCGGAGGCCTAAAGCGAAAAGGTTTTATAAAACCCAGCTGAAGGCCTAGAACTGGGGCGACGGCGCGCGTGCCCACAGAGAGGGCTCTGAGTGCCGCCTCTGGCACCCGTGCCATAGGTTCGCCACCACTGGACTAGGAATATCTGTTTCTGGAAAAATCTCTAACTAATCCTCCAAACTCACATGTTTAAGCACAAAAACTATTGCAAATGAAAACACATCTCTAAATGCACCAACATATACTGTTTATTCATGTAAAGAAACTTTAAAACTTATCTTTCAAAACAAAGCCAAAATATATGAGATTGATGTGCTTTTTTCTAAACAACAGTAAAGCAGCACACATAGACCAGAATAACTATTAGAGAATATTTGCCAACTGTGAAAAGCAAGGATTAATTGCTTAAAAAGGTATGTTAGGTTGGGAGCATGCAAACTATGTGGCATATTCACATTATGATTTATGTTACACTAAATAGGTACAGCAGTCAGCCTTAGAATGGACAATTAAGATACTGAAGTAGTGGATAGCCTCTGCCTTTCAGGATCAACTATTAACATTAAAGGAACCAGCTGCTGAGAAATACAGTCCAAACTAGTAGTAGGTAGGGTAGCAAAGCCATCTTAGAAGAGATACCCAGATGTTGCAATTTACAAAGATCAGAATTGTGCAGGCAATGGTTTTCCTGTGACCCTCTATGGCCGTGGTGGCGAACCTATGGCACGCGTGCCACAGGTGGCACGCAGAACCCTCTCTGTGGGCACATGCGCCGTCGCCCCAATCATAGGCCTTCAACTGGGTTTTATAAAACCTTTTCACTTTAGGCCTCCACCGCCGTGTCCCCCCCCCAAAAAGGTTCAATCAATCAATCAATTTCAACTTCTCGCGGGAAAAGAAAATCTCGCAAAGTTGGAATTGATTGATTGAACTTTTTAGTCCCACCCAGTCTGCCGTTACCAGCACAACCACGCCCACCCAATGGGCCATACCCACCCAATGGGCCACACCCACCCGGCACCCGACAATGTATAAATGGGTTTTGGGTTGCAGTTTGGACACTCGGTCTCTAAAAAGTTCGCCATCACTGCTCTATGGAAATGAGGATAGAAAATTCAGATTCTTTTGAACTTTGGTCTTGGGGTAGACTCATGAGAATGTCGTACAAAACAGAGTAAACAAAGTACAAATAAATCTAGAATTTCACTTGAGGCACAAATAACCAGCCCAAATTATCATGCATAGATACCCTGTGCAAAGACCTAGTTGTACTAAGTAAATCTACAATGCTGGGAAACGTGGAAGGAAAGACAAGAGAACCATCAGCAGCAAGGGGGATGGGCTCTATTACAGCACCGACTGGTGCAGTGTTGAAAAACCTAAAGGACCAAGCTAGGGACAGGCTATCCTAGAGGAAGTTTATTTATTCTGAAAAAGGATCCTAAATGATAACAAGATTCCTTACCTGGATGAGTCAAGAGAGTGTCAAGTTCTTCCTTGGCCACAACCATTCTTAGTATGTCACTGCTGTCAATGACAAAAATAATGGCCTGACAATCTCTGTATAATATAAAAACAGAAGACACAAATTACATTGTGTGAAAAATCTGAATAGTAAGGTGGTAAGAAGCCATAAGGCAAAAAAAGTATTGTAGGCTATGTCTCAGAATTACACAAAATTATAGAGAAAAGCAGCATACTGGTATGTGCTGTTTAACTGCCCTTACTTGAGTCCTCTTGCTAATAAAAACAACTAAATAAAACAAGACACTTCTGCAAATTGTTTAGGATTACCAGCAACCTGGTTTGTTTCTGTCTTAAAAGACCAGAACCAAAGGCCATGATTTATTCTTACCTTTTGATTCTGGCTTGTTAGGAAATGAACAAGTCAGAATTTCTGGTTTTCATGTAATTCTCAAAAAAAAGGTTGGTCCTT